GGTTAGGGTCACGCTGAAGCAAAGAGCACAGCAGGGGGCAGAGCAGCCTTCAATAGCCTGCAGCTCTGTCCCTGTCAACCACTTCCACCAAGTCTGGCCTCCTTAATGAGAGCATTCAACCCCACCCCCAACTTAGTTGCTTCGCTACATCAGCTATTGCTGCAAGTAATGACAATGTGAATAAATTGTCAATATTTGCTTGAGATAGTGCTTACAGTTTTGGAGGGACTCTTAATTTTTTGCTTCTTATAGACTTAGCATGAGGATTTAGTTAACCAGTTAAAATTCATGAGTAAACCAGGGTTTTTTTTAACCTGAAACATTTTGGGGGGGAGGGGTTGAACCCCTAACACACACACACACACACACCAGCTACAGGCCTGATCTCTTCAGTGAAACTTCCTCTTTAAAGGTATGTTTATTGCCCTGGGCTGGCCATGTGGCCTGCCTCCATTTTCTGGCCTCTTCTTCCTTTGTCTTCTCTAGGGTGAGGGAGCATCTTGCCAATGTCCAGGTAAGATGTAGTAGATATATTTACTTTTATTATGTTTCCTTTTTCCTATCCTTTGAAGTTAGCTCCAAGAACCTTTCCTATCTTGAATGGATTTATTTTATCTTTAATAAACGTATTATTTTTGATCCTATGAAGTTCTGGATCTGCAATCCTATTTCATCCTGTTGAATGGAAGTCAATCCTTGCTCATGATGCTGCTTTTGAACTGTGCACCTAGCACTCTGCTATATTTTTGGTGGAATCCCCCCCCCCCCAGAGAGGGTTATTTTTGAGCCTAACAGCTCCTGATTCCCAACAAAGACTCTGGCACAAGCCTGTAAAGGTGGTCCCAGTGGTGATTGGCACACTGGGTGCAGTGCCTAAAGACCTTGAACTGCACTTAAAAACAATTGGCACTAACAAAATTACCATCTGTCAGCTACTCGGATCTGCACACATTATTTGCCAATACATCACACAGTCCTAGACACTTGGGAATGTGATCGAATAAAAAAACCAGCATAGTGATCTTGTTTACTGTGTACTAGTCTTGTTGTGTATCAAATAATAACAGTAGTAGTAGTAGTAGTAATGTGACATCCCACCCATCACTGTATTCTTCATAGCATTAAATAGAGATTGTTTCTGCTATAAACTGACATCTCTCAGGCATATTCCATTTAGCAGTCAACAGCACGTGTTCATCAAATATAAACTTTATGGTTTTTTCCTCAGAAGTAAACTCTGATAAATTCACTGGGACCTACTCCTAGATAAATTAGCATAGGATTATAGCCTCAGCTTCTCAGCCTCATGATCTGCTTACAAAGAGTATAAAGTGTTTATATGTCAAATGTTCTGAGATTAATTTATAAATTGATTAATTGCTCCCAGGCTGGAGAAGAACTCATTTCTAAGAATCTAAAGCAGACCATATGGATCCTATCAAGAGACAAATCAGTTCTTTTTTTTTCAATTGTTGCAGCCTTGGCTTGGCAACAGACTACCTACCAGTTCTCCCGAATAAGCATGTGATTTGATTCCTGGTAGAGGCATCCAGAAACTATAGTTATGTTTCTAGCTGCGAAGGTCAAATATATACATCCTTTAGAGATTCCTCATCATTTTAATGAGGCCTGGAGAGACCTTTGAAGATAAACCAGAGTGGAAAATAAAATTAAAATCCCAGATATTGGTTAAGAGGTTTTACCACTGTTTATTCTTTCTGCACTGAAGCTTTTAATTTGGCTCAATGACAGGATAAAAACACTGTGATGTAAATGGTATTATATACCTTTAACTTGGTAGGACATAGCATACTCGTGTACATGTCCAGGTATTTGAGTCAAAAAATCAACCCCCAAAAACTAGGTGAAATGTACTATAACTCATCAGAAATAGAAGCATCCCCTTTTCTGAGTAGGGTGGCAAAAGGGAAAGTTAAGACCATCCCAGGAAAACCTAAAAGACACCTTGACCTTCTGTTAAGGTAAAGGTTTCTTCTTGACATTAAGCTGTACCTATTGATCTGTTCACATTTGCATGTTTTTGAACTGCTACTTTGGCAGAAGCTGGGGCTAACAACAGGAGGAGATCACCCCGCTCCCCGGATTCGAACCTCCAACATTTCGGCCACCAAGTTCAGCAGCTCAGCGATTTAACCTGCGGTGCCACTGGGGGCTCCGACCCTCTCTACTCTCCTCTTTTAAAAAGGCTTCTGGTCTTTTTGAATGTATGAGCAGTTAAATGGCAGTTGTGTCCAGGAGGGCTGTCCCCACGGCCAAGGCAGCATTGGTGCTTTTCCCTCTCTATTGATGGATTCTTGACTTATCCATATTAAAAATCATAATTTTTGGGCCCAAAGTCTGCCCTTGACATGAAGCAGACTTGTATATGAGTATATACAACATGTGCACATACAGAAAGCAGTTCAAACAGCCACAATGCACTCCTATGATAAATAAATATGGAATTAGTTCATCAAAAAAGGTTCTATTTTTTTCTTCATCATAGTTTGGATCAATTTCCCCAAAACCTAAATATTTCCATCTACTTCAGTAAGGTTCTAGTTACCCTTTATTCTTGTCTTTTTCCAGCTCCTTTCCATAGTTTAGCATTACGAGGTGGCCACTTTAGAGAGCAGAGCACTTTGCCTGGGCTCACCCCATATTTCAGACATACTCCCCTCTCTTATTCTTTGCACTGTGATGCTGCATTTCCATCCCCTTTCCTTCTTCCCACACTGTATTACACCACATTTCCCCCTTTTCTGTGTTTTTCATAATGCCTACCACTTTTGCACCTTGCACCTGCAATTCTCATTGTCCCTCTCTCTTTTGTCCCAATCCCTCTTCCACCTATTTGTTCCATCATCTTACCTCAACCCTTGGAACTTGCCCCTCCCATGCTTCTTGTATTACATACCTCGTATTGACCACTCTTCCAATTTTTCTATTCTTTCCCTTCCCTTATACCACTCCTGTGCAATGAACTTGATACTTGAGTGTTGCACACAGCTGCTTGCATCTCCTACTCTTCTCTCATGTTGCACTATCACAGTATTTCTTGCTTTCTAAAAACTGCTACTTACATAACTTGTCTCTCCTCATCCTTCCTTCACTTCACTTCACTTTGCACAATCACTCCCCCTCAACTTACTTTGTATTCTTGAAAAATAACTTGATTTTTTGTACTGCCACTCAACAATTTTTCTCCCTCTTCCCTGAAATTGCTGGGTGGACTTGTATCTTGCAGGATATTTTGATGGAAAAGTATTTTCCTGCTTTACCCATATCTCAGGTTCTATAAGGGATACACTTTAAAAATAAAAAATAGGCTGAAGATCCACACCAAATAGGCACCAGGTGGCATGACTAAAATTCAGATAAAACTCAACCATACAGATTATATGGCAGATCTACATAGGAGACAGTTCAGTATTTGGACCACCCAACCATACTGACTTTCTTTTCATAACTTTACATTGTTCCCTAAATTATGTTATGTTCACTGAGTCCTTAATGTCAACTCCAGTAAACTCACTCTGAATGTCCTTCAGGATCTCAAATCTGAAACAAAGTGACTTTGACTTGACATATTTCACAGCTTGGTACTTTTACTGCTGAAAGAAAGAAACTTGCTGAATAAGCAGCCTGAGATGCTGATTATCCCAGCCAGAATGCAATCCATTTACCTCTGTGGTTCCAAATTTGGCCTATAGAGAAACTGACAGATGTTACTATGGTCAGGGGAGGTGCAGTCTGTTTGACAGGCACAATTTGAATCTCATCCTCTTTTTCCCCAGTTAGAAAAACAAACACTCTGAAAACTAGGGATGGCATTTTTAATTCCTTCATTGTTGCATGCCAGCATTAATCCAAAAGATTTTTTTTGGGTGAGATTGTTCAATGATTTTTCATAGTTCAGGACTTTTGTATGAAAAAATTGTGGGGAGAGCCTTATTTCCTTTTGTAAAATTCTCAAGGTTTTCCCCTTCAGAAAACAGTATACTAAAGGTAAAGGTTTCCCCTTGAAATTAAGCCTAGTCATGTCCGACTCTGGAGGGTGGTGCTCATCTCCATTTCTAAGCCAAAGAGCCGGCATTGTCCACAGTCACCTCCTGGGTCATGTGGCTAGCATGACTGCAAGGAGCGCCATTACCTTCCTGCCAGAGCAGTACCTATTGATCTACTCACATTTGCATGTTTTCAAACTGGTCGGTTGGCAGAAGCTGGGGCTAACAGCAGGAGCTCCCCCTTCTCCCTTGATTCGAACTGCCAACCTTTCGGTCAACAAGTTCAGTAGCTTAGCGGTTTAATCCACTTTGCCACCAGGGGCTCTCTGAAAACAGTATACTTTGCTTAAAATGCCCAGGTTTCTGAGCAACATGTTAGTATTTTTCTGATTCCCCCCCCCCCCCATTGCCTTTTTAAAAAAGTTGTGATCCTTGATCATGTTCTCAATTATGTATCTGGATGTTCTGAAAGATCCTATCTTGTCAAGGGTGAGGAAATATGTAAGTATTCTGTGCAGTCTTATGAAAACAAACCCCTTCTCATGCCATTCATATATATGTTTCTGCCACGCCAGGCACATATATATAGATATATTTCTTGATAATATTACTTCATCCTAGATACTGTCACTAAAATCTTTCAGTATTTTTCTTCTCAGGGAGGTGGACCCTGTCTTTCGGACTTTTTAAATATGACAGACAGCATATGTGCTGCTAGAGCAGTGGTTCTCAACCTGGGGTCCCCAGATGTTTTTGGCCTTCAACTCCCAGAAGTCCTAACAGCTGGTAAACTGGCTGGGATTTCTGGGAGTTGTAGGTCAAAACACCTGGGGACCCACAGGTTGAGAACCACTGTGTTAGAGTTTCCAGTGATTGTAGGATGATCTGAATTTCCATCACAAGAAGGGCTCATCAATTTGCCTAGAAAGCCCAGGTTTTTAAGCTGCCAGTAGACTAGAAAAAGGAGTATGGTGCATCATATCAAAGAAACACTTCTTTGGAGGGTGGTCAAACTATCTTTTAATGCCCACTTGCTATAAGATCAGTAAATACAATAGATTTTCCCTCCCACTATTGTGTGCCCTTCATCCAGCAAAGGGATGGGTCAAATGATTAAGTACACTGGGCCTCTGGTGTCCAGTGGGGTTTGATTCCAGGACCCCCTGTTTGTGCCAAAATCCATGGATGTTCAGTCCCATTACATACAGTGGCATAGTAAATGGCCTCCTTTATATAAAATGAAAAAATCAAGGATTGCTTTGGGGAATATTTTCAAACTGTGGGTGGTCGAGTCCAGGGATGCAGAATCTATGGATACAGAGGACTGACTATGTTTAGCTATCCCACACAAAACAACATTTTCAGCTGTCTTTAAATGTGGCACAAGGTTCAGATACTGGTTTTCCTTGAAGTCAAGTCTGTAGTTGGTGAGCAGACAACTCTCAAATGGGGGAAAAATGTAAATCTCAATTGAACTCTTGCTGCCTCTGTCACATATGTCCCATCAGTAATAGTCATAGGATTCATCACTCTCCATGTCCTCATCCAGTCTGTGGTTAGACGTTTTGGGCAGAACCAATTTGGTCATATTTAGCTGATCTGAAAATACAGAGCACAAAGCAAATAGTTAGTCTGTGTAAAGCTTTGCATTCCTCACTACCTGTCCTTTATGGCAGGACATTTAAAAATCATAAGATCAGATAATCATTCCTTCTAGCCCAGCACCTTCAGATCAGACAGCAGCTCTCCTGAGCAATTTACTTCCTCGGACTATATGGAAATCCTTAGTTTTCCCCAACAGTCTCCCAAGTTGTAACCAGACCTGATATATGGAAATCCTTAGTTTTCCCCAACAGTCTCCCAAGTTGTAACCAGACCTGATGTTTAGTTTCTAAAGTCAAATAAGAATAGGTGTGTTCCAGATGGTAACATCCCATCATGTCCTCTTTAATTTGCTGTCATATATACTCATGTATACCAACTTCATGTATCAGTTGAGGGCAGATTTGGGGGGAGGGCAAAAGTATGGATTTTGGTATGACTCACGGGTATTTCTTTGAAAAGGGAGGAACACCAATGTCACCTCAGGGGACCAGCTGCCTCTGGCTACTGTCACCATTTCCCCACACAGGCATTCATAGAATCCTAGAGTTGGAAGAGACCACAAGCGCCATGCAGTCCAACTCCTTGTTATGCAAGAATATACAATAAAAGCACTCCCTTGTGATCTCTACCAACTTTATAACTCCATGTGGTATTCTGGGCCCAAACTGTTAACACATTGAATGTACTAAGAAAATTACTACTTACCAGGAGTGAGAACCAGAAGATTGGCAGGAGCTGCCACCTGCCCAATATTGTTCCTTGCAAAGCAGCGGTACGTTCCCTCATCAGTCACCCTCACACCTTGGATCTGGAGCCAGCTGGTCACCTCATATTTCTGAGGGCCTCCCCTAAACTAAAGTCAAATATCACCAAGGTATCAGATGAGAAACACTAATTTTTTTTAATCCACACATCAGACACAGTGTGCTCCTCAGAAGCTGCTTAACAGTTCACTCCTTCTTTCCTTCATCTGTGAGTGTGTTAAGAGACAGTCAGATGTAAAGCATTCAATTTGGTAAAGCCTAATCCCAGGTTGGGATTCCTCTTGGCTGCTATAGGATGCAGCCAAGAGGAATAGGAATAATTTCCCTTAATATAAATAAATTATCAAAAGGAATGCTAAGATACTACCAGTCCAGAATCAATGTATTGTCGAAGGCTTTCATGGCTGGAATCACTGGGTTGTTGTAGGTTTTTCAAGCTGTATGGCCATGTTACTTCTAGAACATGTCCATACAGTTCGAAAACCCTACAACAACCCAGTCCAGAATCAGCTGTCTATTTGAGTGTTGTTTCACTGAACTTCCCATTTAAGTGAAGCATTAAATATGGCATTTGGATTAACAGACAAAGCGCTGGCTGCATTTTGTCCTATTTGGAAATTGTTAGTTGAGTTCCACCCTATTGTTTGTTTTTAATTCAGGCTAAGATTCCAAAAGCTCATTTTTTGTGTTTGATAGACATAAATCCATAACACTTGTGACCTACTTCTGGGTTTTTAAAAGAGACATACACCTAATTCTATATGCAGACACACTTGACACGAAACATATGCATTTTGTACTTTAGTAGACTCTGAAAATCTCAGCCTGTTGTGAAATACCACTCTATGTTGTTAATTTTTCCAAAGGGGAAAACTATCCAGATTCCTTGCAGATGTAAAAAATTGTGGCACATGCACTCGTTTCTTTTAAAGCATAGATCAGAGAGGATTAGAAATTGACCACACAATGTCTTCTTGTCTCTGTCTTCTGTAAACAGGATACAAGCCACTCAATTCATCCCCGAAAGTAAAAAGACTCTATTTTCTTCTTTTCCTATCAAGTCACAGCATTGAATCACATTCAAAAGTGATATTGCCTAATCAGTGGGAAGAGACTGGCTTGAAAAGAATGGCTTCAAAATAGTGTTATATTTCATAACACTGCAAACTAAAACAGATTCCAGAATTTGTAATATCTTGGCAGGGTCTGGACTAGAAGAGCAAAAAAATGATTTGTGGAGTCAGCAAAACAGGGAGTACTGTGTTTGGATGGAGTCAAGGCTCCAAATGTTACTTATGGTTGCTAGAAGCCCCATACACGTTATCTTATGGGTCTGAGCTTTCAGGAAGGGGGATGCTCCACATAGTTTCGTGGTTTTACTATAAATTCTAGAAAATGAAAAGGGCTGCAAATCAGCGGCAGTATACATGGTTTGAATTCTAGGGGTTCTAGGCTTAATCTCTAGCATCTGTAACTAAGATTTAAAAAGAATGCTATTGGAAATCCTAAAGAGCTGCTGATCTTTGGTCAAAAGATATTTAGCCGCTTGTGCTCCTTCTATTTTTATCAGCTTTATACTAATTTATGCAATTCTTTTGATACAAAATAAATAAGCTAGGAGATCACTTTGTTGTTGTTAATTGCCATCAAATCAACTTTGACCTGCAGTAACCGTATGAATCAGAGGTCTCCACGCTCAGGTCCAGTTCAGGCTCTTCAAACTCAGGTCTACCTATAATGTAGCTATAATGTAGTCTTCTTCTTTTCCTACTGCAGTCCAGTTCACTGAGTGCTGATATCTTTTCTAGTGAGGTGCATTGTCCAATGTACAACAGCCTCAGTTTAGTCATCTTAACTTCTAGTGACAGTTCAGGCCTGGTTTGCTCTTCAGTGTAAATATAACAGCACTTTTCCATTTTATTTGCTATGACTGCTTCCTGTGGAATCCTGGTGTTTATGGTTTGATGAGGTACTTCAGATCTTTGGCTGAGATTTATGGATACTCTTCCCTGAAATGCAAACCCCAAAATTCTATAGCATAGAGCGGTGATTCCCAGCCTTTTTTTTTTGACCTGGAACCATTTGACCAGGGACCACTTTGACCAGGGACCATTCTCCAACATTAGTACCAAAATGGTTGCAAATCAGTTTTTGGTCAACTTTAGATTTTGTTTGATTATTTGGGGTGCTGATTCAGAAAATTGCATTGTATAGGCCACATCAGCTCTAGTTTTTGAAACAGAACATATGCTATCCAGAAGTCACCATCTGCTAGGCCACAGAAAACCTTATTTAATAATCTAGAGCTACATGGCTTATTTTAGGTCTCGTGGCCCATCAGTGAGCTGCAGCCCACAAGAATGGATCTGGAACATAATTGGCACAAATACCTTATATGCCGAAATTTGGATACTGGTGGGGTTGAGGGAGATTGATTTTATCGTTTGGGAGTTGTAGTTGCTGGGATTTATAGTTCACCCAAAATCAATGAGAATTCTGAACCCAGCGCACAATGGATGTGCACCAATTTGGCACACTAGCTACATGGCCAACATTGAATACTGTTAGGTTTGGGGGTGGTGGCCAATAACAGCAGGAGGAGGGCTTTTGGTGGGAGGATTCCTGGTCTGTTTCCAAAAAGGAAGAGAAGGACAGGCGGAGAGATATTCAGCCTTCTCTCCCAAAGGGGTTCCTAAGACCATCAGACATATGTGTTTTCTAATGTTCTTTGGTGACCCCTCTGAAACCCCCTCATGACCCCCCCAGGGGTCCCGACCCCCAGGTTGAGAAATGCTGCTCTAGTGAACCAAATTGATTGAAAATATAATCCTAACAATGTTTTCAGCAAGTGAGTCATTCTGCATTCAGTAAAGTCACTCTTCAGTAAGTTCATATAGGCACATATACATAATGTATACCAGATTCTAGACAGACTGTGCAAGTCCTTTATATGCATGGGGTTTAGTGGGGCTTTAGGACCTTGAGAGTCTCAAATAACTTAATACCTATTCTCCCACTGAAGATTTGTCTATGCAATATGTTCTACAATGTTTCATCCAATCTGTTTTTAATTAACTCCCAGCAATGGAGTTTCTCTCTGGAGATTATATCATTGTTCTAGTGTTTCCTTGTAGGAAAGCTTTTCCTACTGCCAGTTTTAATTTGTTCAGTATCATGTCTTCATCTGCTGCCATGGAACAGCTTCAGTGTACTTGTGGCATTTGTCATCAAACTGGCTATTGATGTGCAGTCCAGCAAGAAAGAAAAATGTAAGCCAATAAACCAGATGATATTTAGTTCCAGTGAAAGATGCTATCACAAGCATTACTTCTTTTCTCCTGCCATAACATTCAGCTATCCTAACGTTTGGTAGTGACATAAATATGTTGCCCTACCCAAACACTCCATATAGTAATACAGATTTGCAGTTTCTATAAAAGTTTCCCAGGACTTCCTTACACACCCTCTAAATAAAAGGGTATAAGTGTGGCTGCCCTGCAGCCTCTCAAAACTTCTATTTTTAGCCTGGAACTGCAAGACTCTTAGCCTTTCTGAAGATGATTTGAAGAACTCTGTGTACTTGGGCTGTTCACAATGCATGCAGTTGCTATTGTAAATATGTATTCATTATTGCCATCATCAGTATTTGAGGAATAAATCACCTCAAATGGCCTAGCAACACTCCGCACCCATAGAAATGGCTCTCGCATTTCCAAAGCGGGAGGAAAGGGGCATACAGTCGATTACAAAAGATGTTTTTGCTGAAATATATATTCACAATTTCCATCATCAGTATGTGTGATTACCCTCTGAAAATAGGGCAGGATCGTGAAAATGAGAAAAATAAGGGAACAAGTGTCAAACAATTATTTACTCTATATGTGTTTATGGCACTTTTTGAAAAGGTTTTCAGAAGCATATATCTCTGGGGAATCCTCATAAACATTCTTTTTAAACTCCAGTTAGATGTTAAGTAATAGGAATTTCCAAAAATCCAATTTCAGATTCTGTATGTGTATACGACATTGCGACATTAGATTTCCCCGGCTTGATTTTTGGTTTGGCTGGCATGCTAATATTATTGTTACATGAATTATTGGTTGATTGGTACAATGTTTTAAAATGTTTTTACTGTTTTAACTGTTATTCTTATGATGTATATGTTGCAAGCATCGTTGATGCCTATGTGAGGCCGCCTGAGTCCCCCTTGTGGGGAGAAGGGCGGGATAGAAATGTATGAAATAAATAAATAATAAAATATATCCTGAGTGCATGCTAGACCTTCCAGCTCACCTGAACTGAAATATGGGGGTCATCTCCAGGAAGCAACATATCCAGTCCCTCTTTCCTCCATTCAATTGAAGCCATGGGATATGCAAAGACCTCACAGCCAAAAACCACATCTTGCCCAGTGATGTTCCAGATGTCATAGGGAGGCAATATGATATGGGGTTCTGTGAAAGATCAAAAGAAGATATGAAAAGAAGATAATAACCTCTTGTTTGTAAGTCAATGGGTTTCTTTTCACATTTCATCCTAGACATTTTAATGAGTTATTCTAATTTGTCCTAGTTGAGACCCTCTTCCAAATAATATTTTTACTGCATTGTGCAGACATATGAATATCATCAACAACAACAACATCACCACTATCATCACCATAGCACATTATTCTCTCTATTCCATTTCAGCAGAAAAAGCCAGACCATTTGTGATTTGGCAGAATTGTCCTCCTTTACCAAGCCCATCAACAGCTGTTAGCCAAGAATGTGTTTGCATCATGGCCCATCTGTAAATCAAGACCCTTGGCCCCTAAACAGCAATTTGGGGCTTTGGTGCAATCGCTTAATGAAGTCACATCCTAGGGAATGTCACTGCAGTCTCCTGTTGCTAGAAAAACATGACATTCTTGTGGCAGCTGCTAATCAGTCAGAAGCTCTGGTTTGATTTTAAGCTTCTTCGTACTACTTTTTAAAATCCTGTTCTGAGGATGAAAACAGCTTGGGAAAGGGACCATTATGTAGTTTACACATGGGGGGGGAGGGGGGTGTCAGATGGGATGGATCTCCACTGAGACACTGAAGAAGTTAGATCAGCCTGTATTTGGCTCAGTGCACAAATACTCTCCGAACCTACGGTAAGTTCTTATCTTTCAGTTGAGATTCTCCAGTTACTGCCAAGTATTATGAGACCAACTATTAGGTATGCATCACACTTAGAAAGGCAAAACACCTGGTACCCTTGATGCTGTTGAAGAGCAACTCCAGTCATTCCCCATCATTGGCCTATGGCCTATGCTGCATAAGGTTGATAGGAAATGCAGTCTAATGACATTCAGTTTTTCTTTCCTGATGCACTGTCATGCTCCCATTTCTTTATTCCCAACACCCTGAATTCCTTCTACTACCTGCATGGAATCTATCAATTTATCCATCTGACTCAGATAGACAAATAGGGTATGTATGACTATGGTATTTCCCTATGAATTCTTTTCCAGTTTTAGCTGTCAATCTCTTTGTGTTACCAGCTGCCCCTTGTTTGTGGGATGTGAGAATAGAGAAATAACTGTTTTACTATTTTTAGAACATCAACTTGTGATTTCATGTGAAAATATAGAGAGAGCCAATGCTGGACATTACCTGATTCACAAGGTCCTTTGTGAGTTATGGTAAGATTAGTTTCAGGATGAGAGTTACGCACTTCTTGGAATTTGCAGATTTGGGCATATGTTTTGCCATCAGAGCCACAGAGAGCTTGGTTAGACTGGCAAGTACATTGGGGTTCAGGCACCTCTCCATGTCGCAGGTCCCCAGAATCAAGGCGGCATTCTAAATGATCCCCACACTTGCCATAGAAGTGGTTAGTATTGTCTAAGTCACAGATCTGTCCCTCAAGATTGGCGCATTCCCAGCAACAGTCACAGGCATCCAGCACCACCCCAGCAAGACAGCCCCTTGGGGTGGGACAGTCCTCCAACTTGCATTCCACACAGCTCTCTCCTTCCTCCAAGAGCCGCTGCCAGCCGCGCTGCAAATAATCTGGACCAATGGGCAAAGCCCGACTCAATACATCCCAGCACAAAAAGAGCAAAAGAAATGTGATTTGAAAGAGGGGTAAATTAGCAGGTCGAGGCATTCTCACAAGCTGTCTAGATCTTGACACCCATTCATGACCATTCCTCAGGCACATGAGCCTTCAATAGCATGTACTACTGGTTTCAGTTCAAAACCACAAAGCCATCACTGCCTGCAAAAAGAGAATGGGGAGAGACAAATGGGTTACGATTAATTTGAATCCAACAAAATAATTACAAGTGAAATAATCCTTGCAGTGGCACTATCTGAGGAACACAATCACCCTGCCTTTCATTGAGAACTCCAAAACCATGACAGTGACATTCCTTGTGGACCAAGATAAATGGCTGGGATTTTGTAAACAGAATGAAAGCTGGCTTGGCAGCTTATTTCCACATGATACAATTTTGTTTAGGTCAAAAAGTACTCAGAATGTATCATGGAAAATACTTCAAGACACACAACAGGAACAACATCTTGTGACCTCATCACATGGGCAAAATTGCCCGTCCTATGCCAGTTTCACCTCACTTCAGGCACAAAGCCTGCCAGATCCCATCACACAACATAGATATACTTCCAGAGGACTCCATGCCTGAAGTGGGGTGAAACCATCATAAGAGACACCAGTGGGTATAGGAGGAAGCCAGGCAATGATACTTACCCCCGTGGGATGAGGTAAGAGCAATGCGGTCAATGTGGGGTGAAGGGTTCCCCACACCCTACACCAGATTTACCATAATCTATGGCAAATCCCCCCACTGTCACCCACAAGTTACACCTCAATGTGATGAGGTCCTTAAATAACATTACTGATGTCCAGGCCCCGTAATCATCAGGAAAGTTTCTTCTGTTAGTCCCATAACAACCACAAGCTGTCTGGTGAAGATGTGAGGACAGGACCCAATTGGTGACTGGCCCTGAACTCTGGCAACTTTTCCCAGGAAAGCTAGAATGGTTCCTTCCTTGCTGATCTTCCATCAGCAGGCAAAATCCTTTTTATTCCACCAAGCCTTTAAAGTTGAAAGTTTTTGGAGAGCAGGATAAGTGTGCTATATTATTTTAAACTTAACTGTTTTAATAGCTATTTATTCAATTGAATTCTATCTTTTTAAATGTAGCTTGGAACTTCTTTAATACTGTGAATCGTTTAATTGTATTTTAACTTTCACTTTTTCTATGTTTTTATTGTTATTTTTAAAACTGCAAGTCAACTTGAGAGAAAGGTGGGGTCATCATCATCCCCACCATAATTCAGACCAAAGGCAGTTGTATGTGCAAGTTTCTATCAGTTTAGATTATATTTTGGAAACACTGCTTTTGGAACTCTTCTTCCCAGTCAGGCCGGGTTAGCAATTATGTTGTTTGGGATATTCTAGAAGTTGTAATCCAAAAAGTAACCTTGCCAAGCTCTGCTTGAACTCATAACCCATTCAGAACTCTTTTATCATAGAAAAATATAACAACCAGCAGGTGGTTATGGACTATTGTTATAACAAGGCAAGAATTCAAGATCCTTGTCTATTTAAGCTATTGTCCTTTATTTGCCATGGCCCTATGAATGTTAATTCCCAGGCTTCCCTTTCATGTATATTATGCAGGCGCCTTTTTAGAACAAAGAAGGAGAGGTCAGAGTGGGAGCAGTCATGCTGGGGAAAATATTCATTCAGTGGTAAGTTATTTTTGTCCACGATCATTTTTTCTAAGCCAGTTCATTCAAGATCTCAAGAGAATGTTTGGTTTACCATGCAGTCACCAATGTGTCAGAGACATCTGTTTCATGGTGTCAAATCCCTGACACTTGTTTCAGAAACAGCTGTTTTCTAAGGATGCAAAGGGGCAGTAGGCTATATACTCATTTAGAAGTCTAGAAATGTTAGTTAAAAATCAATTTAAAAGTCTGGATCAACTTCTCCATGGGTCAATGCAAATACTGTACTGTATCTTATCTCTTATCAAAATAGAGGCGCCCCCGGTGGCGCAGTGGGTTAAACCCCTGTGCCGGCAGGACTGAAGACCGACAGGTCGCAGGTTCAAATCCGGGGAGAGGCGGATGAGCTCCCTCTATCAGCTCCAGCTCTTCATGCGGGGACATGAGAGAAGCCTCCCACAAGGATGATAAAAAAACATCAAATCATCCAGGCGTTCCCTGGGCAACGTCCTTACAGACGGCTAATTCTCTCACACCAGAAGCAACTTGCAGTTTTTCTGACCTTTTAAAATGTCTAATGGTGGCAGTAGCCTGGGGTGGCTGGCTCCCTGAGGTGGCACTGGTCCTCTCCCTCCTCTGTGTAACACCCTTCAACTTATCCATGGGTCATATAAAAATTCATAATTTTGGCCCAAAACATGTCCTCAACTTATACACAAAGTCAACTTGTACATGAGTACATAGCTGCTGTTTTGTGCCTCGTCTGCAACTAGTAAGTATTAGGAAAATTTCTCTTCCCCAATATATTATCATTGGTTCTTGCCATCATCACCACACTGTTGTTCACCCTAATGTTACCATGGCTATGGAAGGAATCCTGGACAGTATAGAGTTCAGCTTTAATAGCAACCTGCCTTGGGAGAATTTGATTTTGGTTGATCACCATACTTGGTGTAATAGTCAAGCCCCTGTCAACCAAGTGGTTGGCAGTTCGAATCTGGAGAGCAGGGTAAGATTCTATCTGTCGAGGTCTAACTTCTCATGTGGGGACATGAGAGAAGTCTCCCACAGGATGGTAAAACATCAATCATCTGGGCATCCCCTGGACAACATCCCTGCAGACGGCCAATTCTCTCACACCAGAAGCAACTTGCAGTTTTTCAATTTGCTTCTGACATGGGAAAAAACATACGTACTTGGGCTCATTTAGAATTTTCACAAATATGCAGTTAAATAAATACAATCTGCTAGTAACGCTGGATTGCTTTCTCGAATCACATGGAATATGTACTTTGCATCTTGAATCAGATCATCTGTCATCTGGCCTTTAAAGATGTCCTAAATAAGCAAGTAGTCTCCCTTTTAGCAAAGTGTGACTTGCACAAACTGAGAGCTGCATGGAATAGTGGCTCTGGATCAAATAGGAGTGCAAGCATGTACCAATAGTTTTATTTCCCCACATCAGTGTATAGCCTTCTGTTTCAGATACACAAAATTATTTCTGCATTTGCAGTTTTGACTTTTGCAGATTTAATTATACGCGTATTTGTTTTAGAATTTTCTCGCTATGAATTTCTCAGTTCCCCACTGTGACTCCATGGTCCATGTCTGCCCATCATGCTGGAAGACATTGATATTTCTTGAGAGAACACCTCTCTAGAAAACTCTAGGTCCTCCAATGTGACTCTATGTTCAGCTTCCAGCAGATGTTACAGTCATAATGGAAAGGTATTCTCTGTTCTGCTTTTTGTTCCCCTGAGCAGTGTGAAACATTGTCGTATCCTGAGATTTCTTGATTGCCTTCTCTAAAAGTCATTCTTTGTCATGTTTTACTCCCTTTGTTCTTTCAGTCTACCATTAATTTCATGCTTTTTGCATCCAGAAATTAAATACAGGATTCTAGCATTCCAGATGCATCCCACAGCACTTGATTACTAGACAGTGATCCTCATAGTTAGTAGAAACCCCAAGCCCTGTGAAACAAGCAATGTTTGTAAAATATAGAATAAGTCAAGCAATACAGATTTTTTGTTGAGTTTCATTTCAAGCTAATCCATAACAGAAAGAGTTCTATTGTTCCATAGAAAACATACTACATGAAGCCAGGGGCATTAAAGGCCATCTTGTGACAGTCAAACCTTCCCAGAATTGTGTTCCACTCCCCACACCCTTTTCTTAACCACAGATATGCACATTTCATACCAGACTTCTTGCTGGTTCAACATGATAGTAATAACAGCTTGTATTAGTGAGCTGGAAATGATAGCTTCACTGCCTGCCCAGCAGATAACAATACAGGATTGCAGCTGATGCCCTGCATTAAAAAGAGTGAACACATTTCTTGCACAAAAAGCAAAATGTGGATCAGAATGAATGGAGGGCATTTTCTCCATTCCAAAACAGACCTTTGGGTATTGTTTGATCAACATTATTCTCTAATTTCAAACTTCCCTGGACTACATCTTTAACTGATTTAAGAACTGAACTCTGTTTCAAATGTTTGTGCAAATGAGAAACTGAGAACTAGTAACTAATTCCAGCATCACACTTTCAGCTTCCAAGGAATGTGCCATCAGGATTCAGGATGAATAACTCTAAGAGCAGAAGCTATTGAGGCACACTGTGAGCTCTAGGGGCTCAGCACACAAGATTCCTCAGCCCTATCTCATCCATGACAGATCTTAGTCCAACAACCGTTTCAGTAATTCCAAAGATCTGTGTCTCCTGTGCCTGATAATTTGGAGCCAAGTCTGTAATACTTGTTTTTCCAGAGCTGATTCCAAATGTTTCGGGTACTTAATGATGCCCTAAGATTACAAGACTTGTCAAAGAACCAAGTAGTTTATCAAAGACCATGTTTAACTTTCATAAAAAGTTTCTGGAAACACCAACTTCTGAAAAAGGTTATCATTAGACAAATGACACATCAAGTTTCAATAATACTGAAATCCACATAATGAAAATTCCCTCCTTCCAGTGTTCTCCAGCTCTTTAGAAAACTGTGTAAAGTACATATTACAGTGTGAATTTTTTTCATATTTCAAATCTGGCAACAACTATGACACCCCCCCCCCCCCACCAATACCTTGATGCAGTGATGGTGGTACCTACCTTCTCTCAAACATGGCAAAATCTGTGACTGATTCAAAATCCTCCTGACCAGTTSCTTCAAATCTCCTGAACAGCCACTTCATCCAGGTTGGGCTGGATGGTTTTGCCTTTTCCATTGAATTAGTTAGCTTGCATCTCAGCTTGGAACAAGGACCAGTGATGTCACAATGAAATGTGATCCTCTGATCCCAGCCCTCTCCACTTTTCCGCCCCCCCTCTCCCCAACACAAGACACACACGACCAGCGCAGAAGCCTGCCTGGCTACCCACTAAATTTATTTTCATGTTGAATGTCTAGAAGTGAAGCCCAGCAGCAGTCTTCTGCTTTACAACCCCTGGCCCTGTGCTCCATTAAGAATCCACTGTTGTAACAAGACACCTTTCTCACTGTCTGGTTAGGAAGTTGCCTCTAGGCAGGTTTTTTAAAATGTTAGAAGTATGAACACTAGCACAACATTTCTACTGAGCAGCTTGGGCTTCTCGGGGGACACATTAATATAATTTTGCAAAACGAGATATTCCACAGCAGAGAGTCCCCAGAAATTCCTAGCATATACTTCTCTAACTTGACTGCAAGAAGGACTGTGGAAGCCAAAGCTTAAAGCCAGTAACAGAACTTGGAAAATGGATATTTTTGGACTACAACACAAAATTCCTCATAAAGCACAGTCAATGATCATGCTACCTGGAGAATACAGCTGTAGTCCAAAAATATCACTTTCCATACTCTGATAGGGTTGAGTTAAACAGAAAGGCAGAAGAAATACTGGATTGCCTGGCAATGTCATAATTCTATTTGCTGTAATCATGCATAAGCGTGTAATTATTATCAAAACAAACAAAGAACATTTCACCAACTCAGTATTTTGAATTATATTCTGGGTATACCAGAGCTACAGAACAATATGGAGTGTCTGTGTATGATTACATACTTCCGTTTCACAGATGATGGTATGTTTCATTCTCAGAGGAACTTCCTTAGATGAGCCAGGTTCCAAGTACCAAACTATTGCCAAAAGAAGATAAAAATTGTCAATGCTTCAATTTAGTTCAAGACACAAAACAGAGCCTATCAAAACTAGATTATGGTGGTGGATTATCTGAGATCAAGGTTTGAAGGTGACAGAAACATGGGCATGAAGCCAGGATGAGCAATGAAGCAGACAGGTGAGCATCCCTTGAAAAGATAAAAGATTCAAACTAAATCAGGCCGTGGAGCATAAGCTGAAGACAATGTGTCACTCTAGGATCAGGAAAAGCAAAAGTCAGGAATTACTTTCAGTGAGGTGATTCTACAATGTTTTATTTGCAGAATGGAGGAACAAGATGGCCTTCCCTTTTGTTGCTGTTGTCATTGTATGCCTTCAAGTTATTTCCAACTTAAGTTGATTCTATTCTGAGATTTCCTTGACAAGATTTCTTTCAAAGGGGCTTCTCATGGCATTCCTCTGAGACTAATAGAACATGCCTTCCCCAAGGTTACCAACTGACAACATGACTTCCCATGGACTGGGAGGGATTTGAATCTTGGGACCTCTTTCACATGGCCCTTTCAGGCAGTTGCTGGCAAAGGGAAGGCACATGGAGTGGCTCGTGGTGCCCCGCACACTCCTTCCTTCATCATACATTGGAGACAGGACTATCTCTGTCCCCATCACATGGGCAAAAGGGCACAAACACACCCTTCATATGGGGAAAAGGGGAGGAAAGTGTGGGTAGCTCCATCAAAGCTACCCAAAACACACTTGTCCCAGTAGTGGTGGAGAAAGCACCTTTCAGGACTTCTCCTCCATTTTGGGAGGAATCTGGCCAGAGCCTGCCATGCGTTGTGTGATGGAGCATGGCAGGCCCCATCCTTTCCGCAAAAATGGCAAAACAGGGCTGAAATGCCCCCATGTGAAGAGGTCCTTGGTTTCCAGAATCATCACTGTTCAAACTACTAAACCGGAGCTTTCCAAATGGTGTCTCAGGACACACTAGTATTTTGCCTATAGTCCTCAGGTGTGTCATATTGAAAAAAAGTTCTGTTGCCCCAACATCCCCGCAAACAAAGGCTGCCAGAAAGTCACAGTCAAGGCCTTCCTAACAGATGACCATCTAGCCTCAGTTCAAAAATCTCTAGGAAAGGAGAATTCACTGAACTTCTAGGCAGTCTATACTTCACTAAAGTTGGAAGAGATCTCCAAAAGACATGTAGTCCAACCCCTATCAGCCAGGCAGGAATGCACAGTGAAAGCCCTCCCAACAGATGCCCACCCAGCCTCCATTTTAAAACATCCAGAGAAGTTTAATCACTACAGAAGTGGAGTGCTGGCACTGTTCAAGTATAAGTACTGTTATAACTCTTTAAATCTGTACAATTTGTTGATTGAGTTGCAGTACTTACCAGTTTTAATTGAGAAAAGAAAACCTGTCGACAATAATGTATGTGATGGAGCAGCTATAGAGGAAACTGCACAAGAATCAACTGTAGTACGAAAGAAATATAAAGGGAAAATGTCTGAAATTAATTATACTTTGCATGAAACTCTTATAAGAGTTTGGTTTAACCCTTGGTTTGCTAGTAAAACTGAATTACCGTGGTGTGAAATGATGCATGTCTAAAAAGCTTGTCACCAACATGGAAATTTTGGAAAGATCTACACTACATCATGCAGACTGTTTATTCTCTTTCATTACATGCAAGAAATCCAACTAAAGTGTCAGTTGAGTCTTTCTGTAACAGTACATATGGTACAGCACCCTCCACTGCCACCCTAGTCAAAGACTAATTTAAGCAGAACAGAGCAGGCTATATTGTACCACTTAGAGTTGTCAGATCTTGAAGCTCTGGCTAAGATTTTAACAAATTGAGAGAAATGTCAATGTGTGTGGTGCTGGAGAAGGAGAAAGTTTGTTTATTCTTTGGTAAGTGGCTTTAATTCCCGATATCCCTCTTCACCCATTGCCAGCTGATGCGTGGGCTCTCTGTCTCAGTGGAAAGGTTCTAGTTTATGTGTTAACTTTGTGGCACATTGATGTACCAAAATCAGGAATGGAGAGAGAGAGAACTGGATAGAGATAGAAATAATAGCTGCACCTGTTTGGATCTAACATTCTGTTTGGAGCAAGGCAAGGAGTGGAACATCATCAATGTGACCATGTTACATCTTTTAAGAAAACTAATGAAATGTTTAAAACAGACTTGTTCTCCCCCCCCCCCCATTTATATATGTTGCCATTGTGAAGCAATGTTTAGCACCAAAGGATCAACATTACATTAAAGCAATTGTTAGGGATAGGAAGGAGAGGGTTGGGTTGTTGTCATGAACATCCAAAGTTGAACAACTCAAGGACCAACCAAGAAACATCAGGGATTGAAACATCCAAAAACCATGGTCAGTTGAAAGCCTCAACCCAAAGAAAAAGTCTGGAGAGAAGAGGGGGATTCCAACCAAAAAGACAGAGGTATTATGGATAATCCAGACAGGAAAAATTATCAATGGGCCAGAAAAGAAAAACAACAAATAGAAAAGTTGGGAAGAAAACAGCACCTATCTCTGTAGACCTTTACAACTTAAAGCGTTGCCCTGCAATTAACCCTAGACTGAGTAACCACAATCATAGCTTTCAAGAGACAGATATTCCTGGATAAGCCTGTGTTTTGTATCTGCAATTGTTCTCTTCTCTTCCTTGCAGAAGGAGCCAATTTTTCTTGAGTGCTATTTTTTCCCTTTGAGGACTAAAGGCGTTTTCTCTCTCGGCTGATATACACAAGTGAGCTCAAACTTTCTTAGTGACAGAATTACATTTTTCCACCTCAGGTCATCCTTAGTGCTTTGGATGGCAGATTAGTCTCATGGGTCCTGTACAGTACAACGGACTACACATATGTAGTTGGCATTTTAGTCTACTTGAGAGTAAATCCCTGGAGTTTCATTTAAATTACTGAAAAATGGGGGGAGGGGGTTCCATGCAGATTGGCATCACTATTAAAGGGTTGGACAAAACATTAACAACCTTAGATATGCAGATGATGCCACTTGGATGGCTGAACACGAGGAGGAGCTGAGGAGCCTTATAACCAAGGTGAAAGAAGAAAGTGCAAAAGCTCGGTTGTAGTTAAACATCCAAAAAAAAAAACCCAAAACAAGATTTTGGCAACCAGACTGATTGATAACTGGCAAATAGAGGGAGAAAACGTGGAGGCCGTGACAGACTTTGTATTTATAGGTACAAAGATTATTGCAGGCACAGATTGCAGCCAGGAAATAAGAAGACGTTTAATTCTTGGGAAGAAAGCAATAACCAATCTCAATAAAATAGTAAAGAGTAGAGACATCACACTGGCAATCTGCATAGTTAAAGCAATGGTATTCCCCATAGTAACCTATGGATGTGAGAGCTGGACCATAGGGAAGGCTGAGTGAAGGAAGATAGACGCTTTTGAACTGTGGTGTTGGAGGAAAATTCTGAGAGTGCCTTGGACCCAGGCATGTAGCCGGGGGCGGCTCGGGGGGCTTCAGCCCCCCCCCCCCCGAAACAAAATCCTGGCTACGGGCCTGCTTGGACCGCAAGAAGATCAAACCAGTCCATACTCCAGGAAATAATGCCTGGCTGCTCACTGGAAGGAAGGATATTAGAGGCAAAGATGAAGTATTTTGGCCACATGATAAGAAGAGAGGGAAGCTTAAGAAGATAATGATGCTGGGGAAAATGAAAGGAAAAAGGAAACTGGGTCAACCAAGTTGGATTGATGGTATCCTTGAACTGACTGGCTTGACTTTGAAGGAGCTAGGGTGGCGACAGCTGACAGGGAGCTCTGGCATGGGCTGAGGTCCATGAGGTAACAAAGAGTCAGAAGTGACTGAACAAATAAAGAACAATATTAAAAGGTTTTTACTTCATGACTGCACTCCATGCAGTCATGCTGGCCACATGACATTGGAGGTGTTTATGGCCAACACCAGCTCTTCAGCTTAGAAATGGAGATGAACACCACCCCTTGAGTCAAACACAACTAGACTTAATATTTACCTTTACTTACCTTTTACTTGCCAAACATGAGACAGATTGAATCCTGCATGGGTTAAAAAACCTTTTGTGCAGTCAACGTATCATTTTAACTGCCTCTCCCAAGTGAAAATGCCACTATGGAATCCCTATAATGCCATAGTGCAATGCATCAAAAATTGTGAACTCGCATAGCTGTCACCCTTTTGTGCAATTTATCAGCACACTGATCTAGCTGTTTGATCACGCATCTGCAATGGGTTTGCATCCAAAAACCTACTCCTCCCACCATCAGTTGGACATATCTGTTCATCATTGTTCCAAAATTCCATGCCAGATGT